CTTTGTTCCCCGGTGGAATGAGGCAAGGCTGATGGCTCAGTCCCCCCCCCTGCCCCCGCTTGGTGCTTGTGCCTCTCAGCTCCTGAGCAGCAACGTGGTGAATGACCTGCTCCTCCTGGAGGCTGTGATGGACAGCATGACCGCCCGGCAGAGGGACGCCTGCACCTCCGTCCGCATGCTGGCCCTCCGTGGGCTGGGGAACATCGCCTCGGGCTCCCCGGAGAAGGTGAGGGGCAGGGGCCTACCGTGAGATCAGCGGAGCGAGGGGCAGCCACCCCCTCGCGCACAAACACACGCGGCAGCTGTTGGAGGGGGGCCTGCCCTGCGGCGCTGGAGGCAGACCTCTGGGCACGTGGCCTTCTGGGGCCGCTGGCCGCCTTATGTCTCTGGCCACCTTATGTCTCTGCCTCTGGGCCAGCACGTGGCCTTCTGGGGCCGCTGGCCACCTTATGTCTCTGGCCAGCGTGGCCGGTCCTGACTTGAGAAGCCACGAGGCCCTCCACCTGCAGGGCTCCTTGTGGTCCCGCAGGGCTCCGATCCTTCCTTGGCAGGCCTTTTCTTTGCCCCCGCACCCCTCTGGGTCTCCCTCTGGGTCCTGCGCCTTCTCTGCGCCTCCAGCACGTGGCCTTCTGGGGCCGCTGGCCACCTTATGTCTCTGGCCAGCGTGGCCGGTCCTGACTTGAGAAGCCACGAGGCCCTCCACCTGCAGGGCTCCTTGTGGTCCCGCAGGGCTCCGATCCTTCCTTGGCAGGCCTTTTCTTTGCCCCCGCACCCCTCTGGGTCTCCCTCTGGGTCCTGCGCCTTCTCTGCGCCTCCTCCTCCTCCTCCTCCAGCCCGCTCGGGGCCACCAGCCTGGCCCGTGGGGGAGCAGCAGCTGCCTCCTCCCTTCCCCACTGCTCTCGCCTCCCTAGAGATGCTTTTGGGGCCACGGCGGGCTGTCCTCGGGTGGCGCCACTTTTCCCGTCGCTCTTCTCCCCTCCGTCCCCCGCAGGTGAGGAAGCACGGAGCCCAGCTCTTGGCCTCCATGATGAACGGCATGGACGACAAGGACGACCCCCGGCAGGTGGTGGCCCTGGAGGCCATGTCCAGCCTGTCCAAGATCCTGGCCTTCACCGAGGAGCGGGACGTGCGCTCCATGCTGCTCCACATCGCCATCCGGATCCGGCCCTTCTTTGACAGTGTAAAGCAGTGTGGGGGGAGGGGGAGCAGTTAAGAGGGCCCGGTTTGGGGCAGGGGGAGCTACAGGAAGCAACCTGGGGGAGGGGGCGAGCCCCGCGAAACACCCCCCCCCACCTCTGGGCAGAACAAACCAGCTTGGGGAGGCGGTCCGAGCTGCTGGTGTGATGCTGACAGGAGCACCCACAGCATCCCGGTGGGGGGGGGAGAGGGAGGCTGCTGCTAAACCTGGGTTGGGGTGTGTGTGAGAGACAGGCAAGTGTGTGTGTGTGTGTGTGTGTGTGTGTGTCTGAATAGTGGGGAGCAGGAGCAGGGGCCAGTGTGTTGCCCCACACAGGCTAGGAGAGGCCAGGCCCTTTCTGGGGAGAAGTAACTTCCCCCCCTCCTCTTCCCCCCCCCAGGAGAAACACGAGCTGCGCAGGTCCTCCATCATCCTCTTTGGGCACCTGACCAAGTTCAGCGCCGGGAGCTGCGAGGAGGCCTTCTTCGAACAGATCCTGAACGGCCTGGTGACCCTCTTGCTTCACCTGCAGGACCCGAAGCCCGAGGTGGTCAAGGTCTGCATTCGGCCGCCGGTGGGGCGGGAGACTGGGCTCGGTGGTGGCGGCCGCTGGGGGCCCTCCTCCTCCTCCTCCTCCAGGCTGGGAAGCTGACGGCCCAGGTCTCGTCTCCCTCCTTGCAGGCCTGCAAGTTTGCGCTGCGCATGTGCGGCCCCAGCATGGGCTGCTCGGTCCTTTGTGACATGTTCCAGAACCACCTCCATGAGGACCGGAGCCTCCACTATGGCGAGTTCATGAACGACGTCTGCAAGCACCTGGTGAGTGGCGGGAGGAGTGGGATTGGGGGTGGGGGAAGCTGCTGGAGGGACCAGGTGCCCCCCTCCCCTGCATTTCCCTGCAGCTCTCAGGGGGG